CCCCCCCTTTGAGGGATCCCTCCTGGGGGCCAAGGGTCCCGGATTTTCAGGATTGCGAGAGTGGAAGCCCTGGATAAGCCGAGAGGCATGAACCTCTGAGGCGGGTTCCCATGAATCTTCCTGAGGCCTGTAGCCCTTCCAACAGAGGAGATATTGTAGGATGTTACGATGTACTCTGGTCAATCTCATACTCTTCCTGCCCATCCACCTCAACCGGAGGAGCCGGGGGAGGTGTACGACCCGTGAAGATATTGGGTCGGTAGGGCTTAAGTAGATAGACATGGAAGGTTGGGTGAATGCGTAGAGTCGGCAGCAGGTCCAGACGTACCGCGGCTTGGTTAACTACCGACAAGATAGGGAAAGGACCAGTGAACAGTCCACTGAATTTCTTAGAGGGTGTTCTCAGGTTCAGATGCTTAGTGGAGAGCCAGACCAAGTCCCCCACCTTGTACGTGGGTGCCTCTCTTCTTCTGAGGTCGTAGTAGGACTTCTGTCTTGCCTGGGCCCTCGTTATGTTAGTCTTCAGGATGGGAAGGAGCTCCTGAAGCCATTTGATATAATTCTCAGTGGCCGGGAAGCTGGTATGAGTCAGAGACAGAGATCCTTCCAGAACTTCGATACGAGTGATCCTCGTTCTGATATGATTCTGGAAGGAATCCCATGTAATTTGAAGACATGCTGCATTAGGATTTCTGTGGTTTCCTGGGAGGTTGGTAACTTTGTGAGGGGAATGCTTTAGCAGACTGGAAGCAGCTGAATCCGTAGTGGCTGGAGGAAGCCAGTGATGGCGTGGAGAGGAGCTGTGGAGCAGGGCAGGGGCACTGACCGGCCCAATCTCTGGTTCTTGTTTGGCGGAGGTGGCGGAGGTACTTGCCTGGCATCACACACCTTACCGGGATCCATCTGGATACCTTTCTCAGAAATGATGTACCCAATTTGGCGTATAGATTGTGTACCCGCAACCGCAAGAGGACACACCTGACGTGTCTACGGTGTTCTATGGGGTTGTTTGAGTATATGAGGATGTCATGCAAGTAAATTATGACACAAACGTTGAGGAGGTCCCTGAAAATATAATTAACGAAGAACTGGAAAGTAGCAGGCGCATTACAGAGCCTGAAGGGCATGACGAGGTACTCATAGAGACCGTAGTGGGTACGGAACGCAGTCTTCCATTCGTCGCCCAGTCTAATTCGGATTAGATTGTAGGCCCCTTTAAGGTCTAATTTGAATATCTTAGCAGTCGGCAGCCTTTCCAGTAATTCCCCTATGAGGGGGGATCAGATACCTGTTCTTTGTAGTGATCTTGTTTAACTCCCTGTAATCTATGATAGGGCATCAACTCTGATGCTTGTTACGAACGAAAAACATTCCTGCTGCTGCTGGTGATGTGGAAGGTCTTATGAAGCCCTTCTTTAAGTTGTCATCTAGATACTCCTTCAGGTGTACAAATTCGGCCTGAGACAATGGATAAATGCGTCCAAAGGGAATTTTACTGGAGGGTAACAGGTCTATGGGGCAATCGTAGGGTCTGTGTGGGGGTAGAGACTCTGCATTCTTTTTACTAAAGATGTCAGCAAAGTCTCGGTAGGGTTTAGGTATAAGGGACGTCTGTACTGCACTGGACGGTTCAGCCTGGAGAAGTGTAGTTTCCTTGTAGCACGTATCCCGGCAAAATTGGTAAGGCTGACTGCCAGATTGTCCCAACCTAAAACGGGTTTGTGTGTTTGTAACCACGGGAGACCTAAGATGACAGCAAAATGGGGAGAGGGTATCACATCAAAGCACAAGCATTCCATGTGACCGGAATCGGCCACCATTAGTAGTGGCTGGGTGTATGAGGTTATGGGACCAGAGTTTAACGAAGTGCCGTCAATGACTCTACGAGAGACAGGAGTGATCTTTGTGGATACAGGAATTTTATTAAGGGAAACAATTTGTGAGTCGATGAAGTTCCCACATGCACCAGTGTCGATCATAGCTTCAAGTGCGATCCGGGTTTGGTCCCACTGCAGGGAGACAGAAAGTTTGAAATATTTAGCCCCGATGAGGTTGGTATTTATGAGCTTATAGAGGTGTTTAGACTCATCCGACTTCTTATTCTTAAGTAGGGCACAGTCCTCCACGGTATGGTGTGGGCCACCACAGTACATACGTAGCTGATGGGCCCTACGCCTCGTTCTTTCAGCCTGGGAGAGCAGTCTGCGTATGGCCCCTATTTCCATAGGAACAACGGACTCAACAGGGCTACTCTTGGGGATCGAGTAGGTGATCCCTGAAAGTTTCTCAGCACTCCTTTTCCTATTCCTCCTGTCAATAGAAATGCCAAGCTGTATCAGAGAGTCAAGTGTAGGAGGCATTTCGGTGAGGGCTAGTTCATCCTTTAAGGTTTCTGAAAGTCCAAGCCAGAACTGGTTTTTAAGAGTGACGTTGTTCCACTCTGACTAAGTGGCCCAACGCTTAAATTCGGCAATGTAGTCTTCCACTGGACGTTTACCCTGTTTTAAGGCACTCAAAGCAGATTCAGCGGAAATCTGCTTACTGGGGTCATCATAAAGTAACGCCATAGCATTGCAAAAGTCACTGAAGGAATTAAGAATGGGGTCGTCTTTCTCGATGAATGTGTTAGCCCAAGCCCGGGGTTCCCCTCTGAGGTAGGAAATAGCGGTGCACACTTTTATCCTGTCAGTCAAGTAGGTATGGGGTTTCATGTCAAATAGCAATTTACAAGCGTTTATATATTCCATGTAGCATCTTCTGTCGCCAGTGAAAGTATCTGGGGGGGCTCATTTTAGGTTCTGGGCCCTCTGCCTGTGGGGCCCGATTAGGAAGGTTCTCAGCAATATACGTTTTAAGAGTCTGGTTTTCAGTCTGCAGGTCCGTGACCATCTGCGAAAGTGCGTCAAGTCTTTGATTGAACGCGCCTATATGGGTCACAATATCTGATAGATCCATCTTCCCTTACACACAAGGGAGGTTCGTGTAATCTGTAATGCCTGGGCCGGTCTAGTCAGGGCTGGGTGAGATCTCAGCTTCAGATACTGCGCTGGATGGATAATGAGTGCAGGGTTCACTGGCTACAACTGGTCAATAGGTCAGCTTCACACCTTACACGAACACCAGGCAAGTGGCTCCGTCGGCTTAAGAAGAGGAAGGGCGGAGTCTGATGACATCATCGGATCTCCGCCGACTTAACCCCCGGACGGCCAGGAGCTGCTGACAGGGGAGTGTGTTACACTGTCCTACCTCTACACTTTTGTTATGTACTAAACTCTATTGCATTTCTTCTTACTTTGTTTATTGAAAACAATACTATTTTTGTAAAAAAAAAATAGATCTTGCAGCAATGAACCATTTTTAAAAACCATTTACAATGTTCTATAATACACTGTGTATGTGCCTTTGGGATCCAAGGAAGAATGAATTTCAATGCACATATATAGTGCGTTCTCGTGTGTTACAGTAATGAGTTTTATTAAATGGGTTTTAACATGTGTTACCACATGCATTGCTCTACCTTTGCATCTATTTAAATTTTCTTTGGATTCATACCGTTATCATTAGTAACTGGACAACATGTTTTTGTAGCAAGCCATTTGACTCTGTCTACTCTGACACTAAATTATTGCACATTTGATTGCTTTTGATAGAATATTTATTGTTTTAAGGCAAACAAAAAAAATAATATATTGTACAGCAAAAAGTTTAAATTTGTATTTAACTGCAAACTAACCTGGTAGGGATTGGGTACTTTTTCTGTGTTGTACCGACACTTTAATTGGGAATCTGTGTGCTATTGATATTAAGGTTCTTTTGTTCCATCAGAAAAGTATGAGTACTGAAAGTATTCCAGGTACAATAAACAATATAATGTATATAATACAAGTATACAACGCAGTGTGCCTGCTGATCCTGGTTTCACTTCTCTTCCCTCACACATTGAAATCTAAGTTCAAAATGGGAAGAAAGAACAATCTTTAAGGACAAGAACTGAGGACTCTGACGCTGAATAGCACTGGTGTTGCTATATAGACTGTATACAACGAAAGTACATAGGTATGTATGTCATACGTTATACACAAGGGAGGATTTGACAGCACACAATTCTACTGTATTATAGTAGCACTGTGATACTACACAAATGATCAATATCATTTCTCTAAAAATCTGCAGAATCAGCTGC